AAGTTCCACAAACTTACATGGCTGATAGCCTTCAATATCATAATAAGCACTTAGGTAACTTAAATCTAGACCAGTTCTCTTTCAGCTACGCTTGCTTTCTTCCCCCGCCTCCTCCCCTCTTCTTCTGGTTAACAATGAACTCATGTAACATAGGCATCTTCTTTTCACTTCTTAATAATTCGGACATTTTCCCCCAATAGATGGTTTTATTTTACCTAAAGGTATTCCCTGATCTGCTTTGTGTCTTTCATTTGCTTCTTGGTAAAATCAGAGAGTTGATGTAAAGACTCTGTAAAATCTTTTTCAGCAACAACATTATAAAATTATACAAATTAAATTAAGCCAAGAAAAATTTACAAGTAGGATAAACTCAGCGTAGACCGTGTTTTGTTCAAGTTTACCCCGAAGGTGGTGCTCTGGGTTTCCCACCCTCCACTTTCTCCGCGTCTCTTGGGTTTCCCACCCTCCACCCTCTCTGCATCTCTTCCTTCTCTTTTTGGGGCTTCCTTCATTCTCCCATTTAGATCAATCAGTTGCTCTTCTCTGCCCAACGACTTAGTGCTTTTATTTTGCCCTTCTTTGGATTTCACATTTCAGCTCCCGTATTCTCAATATTCCTGTCCTCTTTGTCCTCTCATCATTAGACTTTCTCTTCAGGGCCTTATTTCCTCAGAACTGGGCCATGCTTCCTACCACCTGTGCAGGTTAAATTGCCAGGAATAGTCCTAGGGTGTTAACAATTGTAGGTAACCTCCAGGGTGGTCTGAATAGAATGAAACACTTGAATTCAAAGGGATAAAGATAATCATGGGTATTTCACAATTATGATCGATCCAGTATGGATTTCTTTTTTCTGGCAGGGTAATTTCTCGACCCCTCCAATCATCCAAAGTGACCTATTTGAGGCGAGCCCCCTAGAGCACAGGGCTCAAAGTGTGGCTCCTCGGCCATCCTGATCTAAACCTAAGCAGTTGCCTGTTAAACCTGCAACTTCCTGGGCCCCACCAGACCTACTCAATCAGAATTTTTCTGGGGAATGGCGGTCAATCTGAATTTAAAATATATTCTCTGGGTAATTCATGAGTGCACTAAGTTGTAAGGAACTCAGCCTTTGTGCTACTTATTTTCTAAAAGTTTCATGTGCTATTATTTTTTGTTTCTTTAATTCTATTACAAAAATTTATTTATATGATAAAATTTTATCAACTTGCACAAATACTAGATGTTTGACTGAAGAATTTACCAACAATACTCAGCAAAAATCCAGTATCTATTACACACAAGCTCCAGATTTATACTTTTTTCACCTGAAAAATATAAGAAAGGCTAAATTCTCTAACCTTTCCTCCTCTCTTAAATGCTTATATGTGGGGCTTTAATCATAGTCAATACTAAAGGTAAAGCTAAGGAAGTGTCTTGATTTTTTTATACATTGTGTATTTTCCCATGTCTACTGTTTAAAGAGAAACTGCATTTACACAGTCTTGCACAAAGTTTAGTGGCAAATGTTTTCTTTTTGGTTCTTATATTAGGATGCAGTTCCCTGTATATGAACAATATTTATGTGAATCATGTCTATATACACTATACACACATATACATATATCTTTATATATGAATCTATATATACACTACTCATATTATAATTTTCTCCTTTGTCACAGGCTTTCTCTCCTCCAGTGAACTAACTCTGTTTTCCTTAATTTTCACCGTTCTATGGTGACTACAGGGCAATTCTGACTTTGGGTTAACAGTAGACCCAGGGTCACATTCCTATCATTCTTTCCAGATGTTCTACAGTGAGCTGATCTTTGGGATGAGCAGACAAAACCCCACTGGGCATCCTCGTTGCAGGCCCATTACTTCAGAGGCCTGTCTCCACCGTGCCTCACCTAGATTCTCTGGATATAAAGGAAGATCCCACTGTGCTGTATGGAAATAAAGCCCTCTGTGGTCAAGATCGCCCACCAAATGTGGTTTCCCTACCAAATAAAGAAAGTGTTGGAGGACAGGACCAGCACAGGACCAGCTTGAGATCTCTTGATCATTCCATCAATAAGAATTCCTCCCTCTCTCCCTCCCGCCCTCCCTCCCTCCCTGCCTTCCTTCCTCTTCCTTCCCTCCCTCCCTCCTTTTATTTCTCTCTTTCTGTCTTTCTTTCTTTCTGACAGAGTCTTGCTCTGTCACCCAGGCTGGAGTGTAGTGGTGCCATCTTGGCTCACTGCAACCTCCACCCTGGGGTTTAAGCAATTCTCATGCCTCAGCCTCCTGAGTAGCTGGGATTACAGGCAGGCACCACCATGCCCAGCTAATTTTTGTATTTTCAGAGAGACAGTTTCTCCATGTTGGCCAGGCTGATCTTGAAATCCCGACCTCAGATGATCCACCTGCCTCGACCTCCCAAAGTGCTGGGATCACAGACGTGAGCCACTGCGCCCAGTCAACAAGAATTTCTTTAGCCTCTTTTGCTCATTATCTACAAAGAGCATCAGTCTCTGCCTGGAGAAGAAGGGCTAGAAACAGGGCACAGGTCACCAGGTAAAACTGGCTGTAAGCCACCATGGCTGATATGCGGGGCAGGTCACTCCTGCACAGAAGGTGGCTGTTGGCCTCATGTTCCATCTCTTACAGGAGTTGAGGAAGCTCGACTAAACATCTCCTCAGAGCTTACAATACCAGAAATCATAGGACCCTAAACGTGTTTCTCAAAATTTTTGAGCTAAAATGATGTATTAAAGTACTTTGTAAATTGTGAAGTGCGTCACAAATTTTAAGTGACAACATCCTCAAACACTTCAATGTGCCCTTATTATCTATTTTGAAGGAGAAAGTCTGAGTTTCATCAACTCAACCAGGATACAGTGAGTAAGAAGCAACTTCTGGTGTCTGCAAAATGATCAGTTAAAAAAACCTGGGGGCCTGGCGGTGGCTCACGCCTGTAATCCCAGCACTTTGGGAGGCCGAGGCGGGCGGATCACGAGGTCTGGAGATTGAGAGCATCCTGGCTAACATGGCAAAATCCCGTCTCTACTAAAAATACAAAAAATTAGACCGGCGTGGTGGTGGGCGCCTGTAGTCCCAGCTACTAGAAAGGCTGAGGCAGGAGAATGGCGTGAACCCGGGAGGCGGAGCTTGCAGTGGGCGAGATCGCGCTACTGCACTGCAGCTTGGGCAACAGAGAGAGACTCTGTCAAAAAATTAAAAACAAACAAACAAACAAAAAACAAACCCTGGCGTCCCTCTATGTGACCATACTCAGCTAGCACTTGATCTGTTCTTTTCTTATGGCATTTATCTCCCGGATCTTGTACATATTTACTTCTTTACATGCCTTATCTCACCTACTACATTCCAAGTTCTTTAAGGGTAAGATCACTATCAGATTTATCTTTGCATAATCCATAGAACCAGCAGACCTGACAGCCATAAACTGATGCTTGTTAAATTAATGAATGAAGTGAATGAGTAAAATCACCCATTTCAAGTTAATCTTTTGGATTTCATTTGGCTTATACATAGAAAGTCATCAAAAGGAAGGAAACTGTCCTAGAAACCTTATAAGGAAGAGTCTCTTGGGAATCTCCTACCTACCCCCTCCCTGGAGCACTTAGGGATGGATGGGGGAACCTTTCACTAAAACAAAAGACGAGTAAACTCTTTCTGAAAATTCCTTTAAGGCCCCCAGGGGTTTAATCTTTACTGCCGCGTAAATCAACTCAAATATTAAGCCAGCAATAAGCCGACGCTCGAGTATCAACCATGCTTTTCTCTGTTAATACGAACTAGGAACTCAGGCTGTTGTTTTCTTTCCCCTCCCACGTGTGCTGATCGTGTAAAACAATCACAGGAACACACGAGCAATGAAATGTGTAAATAAGAAAAATGCACACACATCACGAGCTCATTTCTTCCCAGATAGTTTTTGGTCAGTCTCTCAAGCTTCCCCATGTGCGTTTGCGTGTGCATATTGGAAAACAGAAAAATAAGGTCAGCACAAACACTACTTGTAATACAAACTAATGTAAGAGAAAACTTCTTTTTTAATATTAAAAACGACACTAGAGAAATAATGTAAAATAAATGTACGGTTGGAACTAGGGTTAAAAAAAATCAGCAACGTCAGCAAACTGAGATGGGGTGAGTTGGAAGGCAGACTGGAATTTATCTCTTAAAAAAAAAATCGCCCTAACTAGAGACCTGTTTTGCCTAGGGGGACGTGACTCACATTTTCAGATAATCTGAATAAGGGGAATTGTGTCTGCTCGAGGCATCCATTCCGGCTTAGGTCTCCGGACTCCCGGCTCCCGGCACGCACGGTTCACACTGGAGCGCGCGCCCCACGCCAGCCAAGCGCCTAGCCCGGCTGCTGCGGGCTGGGAGGGTGCGCAGGGCCGGCGCTGATTGACGGGGCGCTCGGTCAGGTGACTTGGGGCGCCAAGTTCCCGACACGGTGACCGCAGTCACTGCCGAGGCCCGGCCAACGCTGACCCTGGAGCGTAGTGGGGCTGATCTCCCGGAACAAAGTTGCTGGGCCGGCGGCGGCCGGGCGAGAGAGCCAAAGGGGAGCCGGAGCGCTGCAGAGGCGCGGGCCGGAGGGCTGGCGCTGATCTGCTCCCTTCTACTGGGGAGAGCGGACCCTCGGCTGCCCGGAGGCGAGCCTGTTCCCAGGGAGTTGGGGCGGCAACGAACGATCCAGCGGTCCTGCGCCCCACCCTCCCTCCTCCTCCGCCTGCGTTGGGCTCCAACAAAGGGGCAGGCCCGCAGCGGGGAGGAGGAGGAGGAGGAGCCGGAGGAGCGAGGCGCTCTCGCGCACAAAGTTGTGGAGTCGTTTTTCCTCGGAGGAGGGAAGCGGGCAGCAGCAGCCGGCCGCGGGCTTTCTCCCGCCGAGGGGCGAGGAGGAGCCTCTGGCTCCAGAAGCCGATTGGGGGATCACGGAGAGCGGCGCCCCCCTTCTTTTGGGTCATTTCTGCAGACGGAAAACTCTGTGGCGTTTGGCAAACTTGGTGCCTGCGCGCCTGTTCCAGGTTTGCGCTTTGACTGTTTTGTTTTTGGCGGAACTACCAGGCAGGAAGATTGCACAAGTAAGGGGCGTTTTCAGTTTGGTGTCAATTTCTTTTTCTTTCTTTCTTTTTTTTTTTTTTCTTTAATTTCGGATCTTGTCTGCTTCTCCACGTTTTATTTTTTTAAAAAATACATCGCACCAGTAAACTCACACTCGCACACACCCCCGCGATTACTCCGTCTCAAACTCCTAGAGGAGCCCTTGGCCAGCTCGGGGTGCGGCGGTGGCGGCCGGCAGGCGAGGCGGCCCGCGGGCACCAGGTAAGCCCATGCATTATTGAAGCCTAGGGCTGGTAATGTGACTACAGCCCCCGAGGGAATGGGGCGGGGGCCGGGAGGAGGATGGCTTTCTGCGGTTCTTCCGCGTGGAGTCGGCGTCCCGAGCTCCTTCCCAAGTCCCAGAGTCGAAGATGGGAGTAACTTTTGCGTGCCCTTTCCTCGGGGCCTCAGTTTAGCTTCCCGCGGTGCGAGAGAGAATGCCGGAGGCGTGGAGAGCTGGGGATCCGTACTAGTTGTGAACGATTCAAACTTCTCTGACGGGCTCTGTACTGCCTCCCTGCTCCCCAATCCTCCTCCCCGCCGGGGTGACAGGGTCGCCCTCAGTGCATCGCGTGGTGCAGGGCGCTGGGCCAGTGATTTGCAAGAGGGGACGTGGCCTCCTAGGAGAGTCTGTCACAGACACCCGGGCCCGGGGAAGGCGGGGCCCCGGCGGTGTCCACAGGAGAGGGTGGGCAGAGGGTGACTGTGTGGTCGGCGGCCAGCAAAGCGCTTCCCAGCTAGCCGCCCGGCGGGAGCATGCTTGACCTCTGGGTGGTTGCTGCTCCCAAGGGTGGGACTCCGGAGAGTGTGGCGCGATCGCCAAGCTCCCTGCCAGCGGCCGTGGAGAGGCTGAGGGGACAGGAGGAGGGGGGCGCCCCATTGGTGTGTAGTCCGGCGCAGTCGCCGGCTGTCCTTTTCCGGACTCTGGGGATCTCTTGCTGCAACTGACAAGGTAATTCATGCCCCCCTTCGGCCCGGGGTCCGAGGCTCTGGTTGCTCAAGGCCACTTAAAAACCAACAAAGCACCAACTGAAGGCTGTGCAACTTTTAGGTCGCAGATTGTTCAAAGGGATTTTTTTCCTCCAAGCCTCAGATTACGAAAGGGACTCATTCCAGTGCGTTTTTCAAGGAGGAGGGAGAAAACCTTGCCCGACCTCCCAGAGAGCCGTGGGACCAGCACTTTGTTTTACAATGAACTGCAGAGCCCGGGTTCTAACCCCACGACCCCGCTCTCTGAGGTGTTCGGGACAGGGCCTCATCTTTCCCAGCCTTCAGATCACCTGGATCACCAGGGCCTTGCGGGCCAGTTCCCCATGCCGCGGTTGGGAGGGTCAGTGCAGCGGTCGCGGCGGCCAGAGCGCACTGAGCGCTGGGGAGGCCGGATTCTCTAGGTCTGATCCGGAGCTCCCGGCCTCCCTACCGGGCGGCAGCGGCAGCGGCAGCATCCATTCCTTTGTAAATTGCACCGGCCTCAGGAAGTCGATCTGGGTCCTCCCGGTTCGTTGGCTGTGGGCATGGGAGACGCAGCCTGCAGATAGCTCAGGGTCAGGGGAGAGCTGGAGGAATGCAAAGCTTGTGGGTACTTCTGCAGTGACGGCCAGGGTTAACGTGGAACCATTCCCCGCCCCTTTTATCAGCCTTTATGGGACCGATGAGACAACACTTTAACTCTCCTTTGGGTGTTAACCTAAAATTTATTGGCCCTGTAAACAGTATTAATCACAGTAGTATTAACCTTCCCTGGAGCGCCTTTTTTTTTGTAAATGGTAGTTCTTGGCACTCACGGTTTTCTTTTACTGTGTTTCAAGCAGAGCAGGAAACTCTTGTCCGCTTGGCTTCCTTTTCTACTATCTCGAGCATTCCTAGGTTTTGGTTCCTAGAGTAAATTAATGAATAGTGTTTCCATTTACACAGCGTTTCCATCATAATGCACACTGTTGGATATATATGTGCTATATACGTAAAATATAGTACAAAATAAAAATTATATACATATATTCACTGTATAGTTCCTAAATCTTAAAAAATTAAAACATTAGTTTTGTCTTTAAGGCCATCACCTTATGTTTATTTTTTAAACACCTTATGTTTATTTCATACACTCTTGCCTTGTGGTCCATATGACAGCCGGAAGCATTCTGAAGGGAGAGTTAGTGAATATCGATTTGACTGGATCGGTTTCAGTAAGAACATCTGGCTAAACTTTACAGAATATCATTTTGAGGGAAGGGAAATCTAGGGCAGAGGTAACAATAAATTGCATTTATATAGGGCTTAAAGCTTCTAAAGCAACATCTCATTCATTGATTCTCAGTTTCTCACCTAGCCTTCTGTGAAGATGGTGTTCCCTCCGTTTTATAGGTGTGGAAGAGGGAGAGTCACACTGGGATACATTGTTCGTGGTGAAACTTTGATTCTGTCTCCTGAAAACCAAAGATGCTGCATTTGGCAATTAGAAGGAGTCATCGTCTGCCTTAAGTTTACTCAAATTCCTCTGGCCATTAATGGCAACAAGTAACCTCAGTGGCTATCAGTATTTAAATAGCCTTCTGTTATTCTTCTTTCTCCCCATTTTCCCCTGTACTCTGATCACCTTTTCTGCTGTATCTTTGGCAACCTGTAAGGGCTTTTCATTATCAAGAAGAGAAAATTTGAAAAATCACCTTGAGGAGAGTGTCAAGTGAAATATTATAGTGAAGAAATATTACTGATAGTGTTCAAATGGAATATAGTAGTGTGTAAACAGTTTACTTTTCTCTTTTATGGGTGAATAAAGGCTTTGGGAAGCATAGAAGTGGAGATCTTGGCTAAGACCAGTTGTGAAGAAAAGCATTAGACTTACCACTCCAAAGTGATACACTGTAGATCTTTCCAGGAAAGAGAATTTTTCCTTGGGCAAACTTAATTTTCCATAATAAACTTTTATAGACATTCTTCTGAACAAAGTTTTTGGTTCTTGAATATAATAAAATACACTTAAGAATTTAGCAAATCCTTTATAGTTATGTAGTTGAATGAAAGAACGTAATCACATAATAATCCATAAATTTTTAGCAGTAGTAGAGCGTATAAAAAACGAAAAAAGTTTCTTAGACTGTCATAAAATCTGTCAGATTGATGATCCAATTCTTTATATCCAATTCTCTCTCTCCTTTTTTTTGAGAGGAAGTCTTACCCACGCGTTCGTCAAGGCTGGAGTGCAGTGGCAGCGATCTCGACTCACTGCAAACTCCACCTTCTGAATTCAACCAATTTTGCTGCCTCAGCCTCCTGAGTAGCTAGGATTGCAGATGTTTGCCACCATGCCTGGCTAATTTTTATATTTTTAGTAGAGACAGGGTTTCGCCATGTTAGCCAGACTGGTCTCAAACTCCTGATCTCAAGTGTTAGCCGGGTTGGTCTTGAACTCTGGACCTCAAGTGATCTGCCTGCCTCAGTCTTCCAAAGAGCTGGGATTACAGGCATGAGCCACCATGCTGAGCCCAACTCTCTTTTTGTCATCTCTGCTTATATAACTCAGAGGCACCTCAAGCTCTGCGAGTCCAAACCACATTGATGATTCCTTTCTCCCAGCCCACTATCCTCAGTGTTCCCCAGCTCAATGACTCACACTTCACCTAACTGCCGAAGCCAAAACTGGGGAGTCATTTTGCCCATTTTGCACATTGGATATGAATCCCTCATATCCAATCAGTTCCCAAATCCTATTGACTTTCTTTGATATCTAAATATCCCACATATTCACCCATTTCTTTCCATCTATTCTTGTTTAGACCACAATTGTTTCCTGCCTATAATATTACGATAGAAAGAATAGCACAATAAACACCCAGATGTCCTTTTTATTTTATTCTTTTAAATTTTTATTTACATGGAGTAGAGACAAGGTCTCACCACGTTGCCTAGGCTGGTCTCAAACTTCTGGGCTCAAGTAATCCTCTTGCTTCAGCTTCCCAAATTACTGTGATTACAGATGTGAGCTACCTCGCCTAGCCCCAGATGCCCTTAAACTAGTTTTCCCACTTACTTTTTTTTTTTTTTTGAGATGGAATTTCGCTCTTGTCACCCAGGCTGCAGTGTAATAGCGCAATTTTGGCTCACTATAGCCTCCGCCTCCTGGATTCAAGTGATTCTTCTGCCTCAGCCTCCCAAGTAGCTGGGATTACAGGCACCCGCCACCACACCCAGCTAATTTTTGTATTTTTTTTTAGTGGAGACGGGGTTTCACCATGTTGGCCAGGCTGGTCTCGAACTCCTGAAGTCAGGTGATCCACCTGCCTTGGCCTCCCTAAGTGCTGGGATTAGAGGCGTGAGCCACCATGGCCGGCCTAGTTTTCCCATTTATTTTACGATATTTGCTGCATCTTTCTGCCTGTCTGTGTGTATATGCATATATACATCTACATACATATATCAAACTAAATATATGTATCAATATAGACAGATATATGCTATTCTGTTTGAGCTTAAGTTAAAGATGCCATCACACTTCATTGCTAAATATTTCACCATATCTCTTACAAAGACATTCTCCTGCTACAATACCATTAACCAATGTTAAAGAAATTTAACACTGATACAATAATATTGTCTATTACATAGTCCAAATTCAGATTTTTCAAATGATCCTCAAAATGTTTTATTTTAAAATTCTGAATTCAATCAAAGATTACATTTGGTTGTTATGTCTGTTTAGTCTCCTTTAATTCACAAAGTTCCCCCTCTCCCAGGTAATTTTGGTTTTCAAGACACTGACAGTTTTGAAGAGACCAGGTCATTTGTTTTGAAAACTAGCCACAGTCTAGATTTGTCTGCTTATGAGAAGATTCATGTTCAACATCTTGGCAAGGATATTGTGTAGATGATGTGGTAATTTTCCATTGAATTGCATGATGCCCCATGATTGGTTATGTTAATTTTGACCACTTGGTTAAGGTTAGGAATTTTTCCCCAACATATTACTATGAAAACATTCTCAGACATACAGAAGAGTTGCAAGAAATTTTCATTCAACATTCATATACCCATGGCCTAGGTTCCTTAATTAGCATTTTGCTATATTTTGCCATAGTCTTCACTGGTTCCCCACATATTACTGTGGTCTGCCTACAACCCATGATTTTTCTTTTCTTTTCTTTTTTTTTTTTTTTTTGAGACGGAGTCTCACTCTTGTTGCCCAGGGCAGAGTGCAGTGGCATGATCTCAGCTCACTGCAACTTCCACCTCTCAGGTTCAAGCAGTTCTCCTGCATTAGCCTCCTGAGTAGCTGGGATTACAGGTGCACACCACCATGCCTGGCTAAGTTTTTTTGGTATTTTTAGTAGAGACGGAGTTTCACCATGCTGGCCAGGCTGGTCTCAAACTCCTGACCTCGTGATCCACCTGCCTCGGTCTCCCAAAGTGCTGGGATTACAAGCGTGAGCCACCGTGCCCGGCCCTTGATGATCTTTTAAAAAGGCCAATTTGACAATGTTGGTTCCCTCTTTCAAACCATCTACTGGCTCCCCATTGCTCTTCAGATAAAGACACAAACCCTTGACCTGTTCTCCATGGTCCTGTCCCTGGTCCTGCCCAGCTTCCTCACCTGGTTCAACAGGTACACTTGTCTCTTGGCTGTCTTCCTTCCAGAAACACTGGCTTGTGCTCCACTCTTTGACTGCTCCATGATTCCTTCTGCCACTTTGCATGGGAAGCTCTTACCTTTTCTCTTTGTGTTTCCCTTTTTGGCTAATTAAATTCTTATCATCTTTAAAGGCTTGGCTCAAATGTCTCTTCAAGAAAGCCTTCTCTAATTGCCCAGGACAGGTCAGATTCCTCTGCTGTATGCTCTTAGTACTTAGTAGAATATGCTTCTCCTTTGCTTCTTCTATACTTCTCCTTTGTATGATTTGCAGTCTATCGGTATTGTAATGAAATAATTCATTGTATAATTAATTGCTTAGTGTGTGTAAGCTCCATAATGGCAGAGGTTATGTCTCTTGTTGATAGTCATAACCCCATTCCCTGGCTCAGTGCTTTACACGTGATAGGCACTCAGTATTTGGTGAATGAATAGTTACTCTGCATAACTGTATATAAAAGATATAAATATGTTTTTTCAAGTCAGTACTTTCCCTTTTCCTTTTAGGTATTGATGTCAAGCTGAACCATCGTAGGAAGTTGAAAGTCTTAGAAAGAGGACTTGGTAAAGTTTTTGGATTATCTTGAAACTCAGGCAAGATGGCCAAGTATGGAGAACATGAAGCCAGTCCTGACAATGGGCAGAACGAATTCAGTGATATCATTAAGTCCAGATCTGGTAGGTAAAGGAAGCTCAAGACAGTTATGGATTTTTATGTATTTAGAAAACCTATATTTCTTATATTGATTTGCATTGTTCTTGCAAGCACTTCTTGGAGGTGAAGTTCTTTCGAGAAACTGAATTCTAACAGATGACTATAATTTTGTAAAAGGTATATGTAAAAGGTATAATATCTCTGAGTGTCCTATCCTTTCTTAACAGAATTTTGTCTCACTGTATGTCGACTGGCATTGCTTAGTGAAACTGCTGCTTGTAGCTAAAGGTTGTTCATTTGGAAGACTACTCCATTAAAACAAAATATAACTGAGCATTTTTCTTTCTATTTTTTGGAAAATGAAGGGATTATATGCTTAATGTAGGAAGTGCCACAGTTTCTGGCAGGAAAGATCCTTTCACAGTTTGATTTCATTGCCATATATCCTCACCCCCATCCCTGTTGGTAGCCATTCATAGGCCAACAGGTGTCCTACCTTGAAACATCTTATGAGCCTTCTCAAGGTAAAGTTTTCACCTAGGTAATCTAATAAACCAGACTCAGATTCATGGTTTTCACGTGAACAGTTAAATTGGGGTCCTCAGGATACCACCCCCTCCTCCAATCTTTTTATATAACTGAGTGCTTTTTGACTCTGGCTGTACAGATGAATCAACTGGGGAGTTTTAAAAAACGCAGATGCATTGGCTCCATTCCAGACCCATTGAAGAAAAATTTCTGTATTTTTAAAAAGCTTCAAATATGATTCTGAGACAAACTCAAAGGGGAGATATTTTTGAACAGGCAGAACACTTCTCAGCTTTGAAAATTACACAGAACTCCACCCTGAGTGTGAACACTATACTTAAGTAACTTTGAAAAGTTACTTTGAGGTATAAAATTACATCCAGTGTCACTTTAAAGACAAAAAAGGAACCCAAAGCCTGTATTTGCTGTGTGAACCATCTTTATGTTATGTTAGGAGCTTACTTCTTATTATGTGAAACTGTAGAAATACACAGTGAAAAGAAGATCTAAATTAACTATCTTAGAATACACATTTTCCTCCATGATACTTGTGTTGATGGATTGATAAAGATTTTAGTTATTGTAGATTTGGCTGTAAATATGTAGCAACTATTGAGTAGCTTGATGGGTCTTTTGAAGGTATAGCTTAATATCTTGTTTTAAAATATGCTTTGAGGATATTCTCTTCCTGTAAAGTTCTTTTTGTTTTAAATGTTTTAGTGGTATAAAAATGTAAGGGATTATTAATATCTTCTTAGGAGTACGGAATACATATTTAGACATATGTAAATATAACAGAGGAAAATGGAAGAGAGACGATTTAATGTCTCTATACTTGCCATTTTCCATAATTTGTGAGGAAGTATATTCCTAAATAGTTTTCTGAGTCAACCTACATTCTAGTAAGACCTTTGATATTTATAACTTGTACTTTAGCCATGTCCATAAAAGAGTAATTATCTAATTTCAGAATTACTGTGTATATATATTGAACATATAAACTCCCAAACTATTTAAATTTAAAATTATCTTTTAAAAAGGCTGACAAACCTCAAATATTGCTGGAGAACAGTTTGGCAAAAATGATAACATGTTTTTAACACATGCATACCGATTAACTGAGTAATTCTATTTCTAGAGTTTTTCCCTAGGCGATACATAAAAAGGTATACTTAAGAAATTGATCACAGTATCATTTATAATAGAAAACATTGTAAACACCATGAAAATCTAATATTAGGAATTGGTTAGATCGTTATTTCCCAAAGTATTTTGAAAAGATCAAAAGTTCTAGGACTGTAAATGTGTAATTCACAAAAGGATGTTATAGTCAAATAGCTTTGGGAAATAGTTGTTTAAACCTATTCTGTTTCTTTACTCTAGCATATCTGAACAGATCATACATGATCCCAGTAGAGCTCACTAAATTAGGTTATATCCATAAAGTAGAAGATTAAGCATTCATAAAAAGTGATACCGTTGTGTGTGTGTGTTTGTGCATGTGTGTGTGTAGGAACATAGAAATGTGTTCTTGATATAGTAAGTAAACAAGTATGTATTATATGAAGTCGTTTTTTTGAAAATTTTTTTTTAAAAATTAGTGAAGTATACAATAAATGTTAATAGTGGTCATCTTGGTGTTTGAGATTATTACTATTTTTTTTGATGATTTATATTTTCTAAAGTTCTTCAATGAACCCACATTACTAAGTTCTTATATTTTTAAAGATTATCAAATTGCTTAGGATGTTTAGATGCCAAGGTTATGACTATTACTTTTTTTGTGGTGGCGTCTACTTCAAAACACATTGAAAATGTGTTGTTACATAGCTCAGATATGAATCACATTCTTTTGGCTGAATTATGTTGCAAAAGCCAGTAGATAAATTTGGATTTGAATGAGCCCATTAGCCCCAATCTGGCTTCCTCTCAGGGACTTTTTTTGATTCTTTTAATGCAGATGCTTAGTATACAGAGGTAGTATTTCATGGTACTCCAAAATTTACATATTTTAAGGGATTTTTAGTTTAGATTAAGTCATAGGAATTGTCTACATATAATATATGTATTTTAAAGATCCTCTGTCTACATACTCTATGCCAAATTTGTTGTTTTTCCATTTTTTAAAAGGGAACACTTTCCTATAGGAAAATTTTGATCCTCATCTGCTCTTCCAGGTTTCTTTTTTTGGGGGAAAGTGGATGAGAGTGGGGAGATGGAGAGTGTGATTTCCGCTGTCCAGATCCTTGAGTTTGGACAATCCAAAAGCCTGGCATAATAAAATTGCCACAATAAAAATATATATGCATTTTATGTTAAATTATTGTGATTTTTTTATTGCCCTCACTTAGTATTACTTTGTTTCATGCCATTTGTGAATATTATAATTTTTTTAATTTTATAATTTTAAAGCCATTCCCACCATCTAAACAAATAGGAAGTTATCAAGGGTAGGTAATGAAGTAGTTTCAAAATACAAAGCCATGTATTTATTTATGCTTGTAGTATACTTGCCTTGGGTTTGGGTGAGTTTTAGAAAGAAACTGGAAAGAATTTGATCTATAATGATCAAGGATTTGGTGTTGGGTAAAAGTAGACTTGCCTTTCTCTAACTTAAAGGCACATATGCCAAGTTCATCATCAAGGACTGTATTATTAACAGCCTTAATTAGTAGGCTTCAGAAAGCTCAACAAGTTAGTAAATATTTTGAAACAATAGGCCAAAGGTAAGAATTTTTAAAAAGTGAAATTTATTACCTGTAGAGTATGTGATGCAGAAAGTTCTGCTTGGAACATATTAAACATGAAATAATAAAATGGTTTGGGATACATATGCAATCGAAGAATATCCTCACTGCTATTTCATTCAATAATTAGCATACATTAAACCTAGTAACATAGAATAAGTCATCCTTTTCTGTTGCTGTCAGTGTTGTTGTGGTTTTAGTCCAGAGCACCATAGAAAGAGTAGACCTCAGGGCTAAGGACAGTGTGTCAGCTGGCTCCATGTGGAGTTCTTGACAGTTTGGGATTATAGACCCTCAGTTGGGAAAGAACTATTTGATGAATGAAATAGTTGGGCAAGCTTCACATTTTTGGATAATTCAATGTGTTCTTTAAGAGACCTTGGGCTGGAAACCTGCGTGTAATAATTTTATCATTTCTTCCTTTGCATTTTCTCTTCTTATCTAATCCTAGGGTCTAATTGTTGAGGGAACCTTAGAGGCCCTATAACCCAGCCATGCCTGTGATGTGCTCACCCAGTCTCTGTTTGCACACCTCCAATGATGGCGTCTCACTGGTGATGAAGATGATGACGATTCTAGCAACTTATACTTATTGAACACATTCTGTGTGCAGATGTGGTGCTAACAGTTTAATCCTCACAACCACCATTTTGCAGTTGATAAATGTGAGCCATACTGAAGTGATTTGTGGCACTGGCCTTCTTTCCATTTCTCCAAAGGCCCAGTGTGCCTGCCTCAGGGCCTTCGCACATCTCTCTTCTTCCATCTTTGCCTGGCTGGTTCCTTCTTGTCATTTAGATGTAGGCCTAATGTCACCTCTTCTGAGATCTTCCTTGCTGACTTTAGAAAGTAGCTCTCACAGTCACTCTTGACTGCATCATTGTATTTACGTTCCCTGTGTTGTTCTTACCACTCTCTGGCACCTTTTCTTGTACTGTGTGTTCTTTAATAGACTTCCCACTAGAACAGGGGTCCCCAACCCCCAGGGCCTTGACTGGTACCAGTCCGTTGCCTGTTAGGAACCAGGTGGCACAGCAGGAGGGGAGTGGTGGCTGAGCAAGCACTACCACCTGAGCTCTGCCTCCTATCAGGTCAGCGGCAGCATTAGATTCTCCTAGGAGCGAGACCCTGTGGTGAACGGCACATGGGATCTAGGTTGCACGCTCCTTATGAGAATCTAATGTCTGATGATCTGAGGCGGAATAGTTTCATCCCAAAACCATTCCCCTCATCCCTTGGAAAAATTGTCTTCCATGAAACTGGTTCCTGGTGCCAAAAAGGTTGGGGACTGCTGCACTATAATTAACTCCCCGAGAGCAGGGACCAATACTTCCCTGGTACTGAGCCGAATGCCTGGCTCATAATAGGTGAGCAATAAATGTTTCTTCAATGATAAAGGCTATGGAGTCTGGAAGTGCCAGAGCTGGCATTTGAACTCAGATGATCTGACTCTAGAAACCCTGCATTTGACCTCTATGGAGTGCCCAATCTCCTAATTCACAAGGCATTTTATTCCATTGCTGCTGGGTGATTCTTTTTCATTTTGTGCCTAATTCTGTCCCTTACACATTTTGCACTGTATTAATTGTATTCATACAGCTCTTCTATCTCTTTTTTTGTAGTTTTCAGGGGTGGGACCCTGGGCTGTGAGGTAGACCTCCTCTGGACCCCAGGTTAGCATCTCAGAGCCCTGTCAAGGGAAGCCAATTGTAAGAGACACAGCCTACTGCTTCTGGCCAGTCGTAGCC